GACACGAAGATAATAATCCTAACAGAAACTTGGTTATCACCGCACAAATAGAGTCGTCTTATCTAAAGTAATTCCAGACCAAGGTTCCTGCTTCTGGAACCGTAGTCCTGTTTGCGATTGTGCCCTAGTAATCTGGCTGAGAAATGTATTTGGATACCCTCTATTTTTGTTTGTCTTTTAGGGACCGTCCTGGTGCGGACTTGACAGACGCAGAGGCCAATCACTGATTATTGGAATTTTTTATGTGCTCACAAATACGAGACCAAGAAAGAATACAATAGCGCAGTCGGATGAAATGGCTTATTTGCGAGGTCGGGCCAAGATGCTGATGCGTTCCAACTAACTGGCTAGAGGGTCGATTAAAAGCAGTACAACGTAACACAAACAGCGTGCCAGATGGCAAGGATGCTTGACCGGGTGCCTCCAGCTTAGCGAGTCCGGTTCAACTATGATGGTCAGCATCAATGTTGAATCTAGTCGAGCCTTGGGTTATTGGTTTGAGGGAAGTTGGTTGCGCTACAGATCAGTCAGCCCTAGAGGGTTCGCGGGGACTCTAAGATAATACCAGCCGGAAGTAAAGACCCAGGGGTTCTCCACTGGTAAAACTCTTCCGATGGGCTCACTGCGTGAAGTGGCCTGTGGTTGTCTGAACTTATTCTAGGGTGACGTGGCAACTGAAAAATAAAATACGATAAATCGGGCTGTACGTCGATTGCGATCCTCTGCATTCTTTGACGTTCTGTCCAGTGCCACTGCACCTGGAATATAATCAATAACCTTTAACGCCACGAAAACGATTCTTAAGTAAGGGAAGTATTTACTGATAAAAACATCGAAAATAGATTTCACTTTTATTCCCACCCTTTCGAAAAAGTTTCCTTACGCGGTAAAAAAGTTGATACGAAAAGGTAGAATGTAGGAGGATTTTCACATTCCCAGTAGATTAAAAATTGGCACCTCGAAAAAATTAAATTTAAGGATGAATGGCACATTTTAAGTCAAGCTACTTAACTGGGTTTATCTTTATGCCCTCCGACAGCCTGACAGTTCTACCCGATAGTGGTTTCGTTGTGCCAGTGGTTGTTGTAACAGTGCTTAACCAGGCACATCGTCTTTTATGCGGATACCATTCAATATAAATGGGCAATTTTCTGATAGTGGGCGCAAGTAAGTGTTGTAGAGCGGTAGCTTGGCTTATTTGTGGTGACAGTTACGAACTATGCAACCCATCAGGATCCCAGATTTGCGAGTCTGTGATACTACCTGTTCAGAAAATGTGAGATCCCTTGAGTATCTTAGTTCAAGGTCACATACACTTTTAAGAACACTTGGTTTCGTGGACTGGAGATGTAGTTGGATGTCCACCTATGGAGCACCCAAACATATCTAGCCACATTTGCTTATACTGAACCGAAGTTTCCAAGGAGCAGACCTTGTGGATATTATATCAGGCTCTCTTTGTATCAGTGCTTGATAGTGAATGTGTGTGCAACTTTTAGGTCATCAACAAACAAGAATGGGTTGCCATGTGTAAAGCAGCTGCAGATGTCATTGACGTATATGGTAAAGAGAATGGGACGTAATACACTGCCCTGAACAACACCAGAGGTGATTGGTTTAGGTTTTGACGTGTGCGAATCTACATTTACCACTTGAGTGCGATTGCTGAGGAAAGACTCAATCTCTCCCAATAGTGGACAGCCGATTGCCATAGTCATCAACTTACTTATTAACAGCAAGTGATCGGCTCTGTCAAATGCCTTCGAAATGTCTAGGTAGAGTGCAAGGAGTAGCTGATGTCGGTCACTCATAGAGGTTACGAAGTTAAAGAAGTCAAGATGGCAAGTTATACAGGACCTCGATTTTAGGAACCCATGTTGACTCAATGTGATGATGCTGCTACTAAGCATGCGCTGAAGAACACTTTATTTAATAACTTTCTCTATAATTTTACAAACTACAGGCGTAATATTTATTGGTCTGTAGTTACTGGCTAGTGTTTTTGAGCCAGATTTATATAAAGATAGGATAAGCAATGTTTTCCGGACATCGAGGTATGTGAAAGGTTTCAGAGACTGAGGAAATATTTTAAGCAATGATAAGGGAATGTCAGGGCCACCAAATTTAAGGAAATGTGATGATACTCTGTCTGCTTAAGCGTTTCAGTGTTCTCATAGCTTGGTAAATATTAGATTACGTGAATTAAACCGTATCTGTTGTCGTTATTGGAGGAGAAGGATTGCTTTTGAAAATGCAGACCGTATTAGTATCGCAAGAAAAAATTGTAGGTTCCAGATAACCAACTGCAAATAAGTCGTTGAATATTTCACACACATCCACTGGATTATTATAAACTTTGGTGGATAAGAAGAGGAATGTTATGTCATGTGCAATTCGTTCGCTTCTTAACGTGCGTTGATAGAGCATATACTCTAGATGGGCTAGCTAGTGCACGACCCTCTTCATTCTTCAAACGCAAATCATAGTTGTGCGAGATAGAGTTAAGGGTACCAAGAGTCAGCCGAAGTGCATCGACGTCGTGATGTCTGTAGTATCTTGTTGAGAGTTTGCGTAACTTTCTACGAGCACTGAGAGTTATGTATGACTTATTGTTTAGTGGCATTTTTTTGAAACCTTTCATTGGAACGATGGTGTCGAGACAAGTTTTAGAGTTGTGGTAAAATATATCAGTGGCTAATTTGAGGTCTGCGGGGGTGAAATATGATCCCCAGTCAATGCACCTAATTACTGGACACATCTGCTGCCAATCCGTTCTACCGTAGTCTCTACATACTATTTGGTGTGTAGTGGAAGTACCAATTGAAGTACTAGTCGCAGGAAGTGGCAGTGCGCATAATACCGTTTTGTGGTCACTTGCTGGGAACTTGGAGCCTACATACGTCAAAACAGGATTTATGTTATGGCAAAATATTAAGTCCAATACATTGTCACCTCTTGTAGGAGTTGTAACAATTTGCTTCCATCCAAAAATAGACAGTGTATGGAAAACGTCGTCATACCTAGCCGGATCAGTAAGTGAATCTCACTTAACTTCGGGTAGGTTGAAGTCATCGCATATGACCTTATGATCATACGGGAGATTGAACGCATGTTCTAAAGCTGCAATCAGTGGGGCCTCATGATTGTTGAAGGTACCGGGCGCTCTGTGAACACATTCCACAAATACTAGAACATTCCTGCAGTGCATTGCGGTGCTCAGCGTAGTTTCGGAGGGGATAGGTCCTGCTCTTCAGACGTTCTGGCAGCCAATGAAGAGGGCACGGCATGTCGGGACCTCATAGTTCCTGTTCACGTTATTTTCCTGGATTTTGCTAAGGCCTCTGAAACAGTCTCACCATTCTACTAGTAAATCATCAGCGCTGGGGACTAATGGTCAAGTGCTTTCCTGGCCACGGGACTGTTTAGGCGGCAGAGAATTCTGCACAAAAGCCAACAGGGCTTAGCTGACTTGGAGGACATCGTCATCTGGTGTGTCACAAGGAGCTATCGTGGGTTACGCTGCTGCTCCTTCTTTTTGTGAACCATCTTACACTGAATCTCAACTCCTCATTTCCATTTACCCTGGTGATGTGAAGTTGTGGAGAGCTGCGACATCCGAAGCAGAACCAAGCCCACTGCAATGTGATCTCAGATTGCTTGTGGAGTGGGTGAATAATAACGGACTAGTATTCAATCTGGACAAGCGCCAAACCGCGTTTCTTCGAAAGAAGTACCCTACTCTGTCTGTGGGACACAACTTTACCACACCACTACGGAGGAAGACCTAAGACCAATGCTGACCGACAAGCTAGGCATTAGCAATATCCAGGAGTGCCTCCTGAGCATACACACTACTGCAACTCATGCTCACCTAAATGGGTGCTCTCACTTCGGAATTCTACCCAAAACTGCACAAGATCCACATACGACCTCATTTAGAGATCCACAACGTCATTCCGCCACCATACCTGGAAAGAAATATGAACCTCGTGAAGAAAGTCCGGAGGAGAGGAAAAAAGGTGTCGTGGGAATGAGGTAAAAGCCCTATGGGAACAGGCTAAAAGGCCTAGAGCCCTACTCTTCTAACTACCATGGAATACGTGGTTACTTGACAACGGCTTATAAATGCCAAGCAATTCAAGTCATCCAAACAATAAAATTCCACCAAACTGTAACCACAGCAATCTTTGTGTTGACTGAAGGAGACTCGCTCACTAAAGGGGGAAAACTCGTGTGTATTTACTCTTCTCTCCTGGCATTTTTGGCCACCGGAAAGCATAACCTGCCGAGATGGCCACTGACCCACTTGCTAGTAGCTTCAAGAGGAGGTTGGACAGTTAATCAGCGACGCATGGTTTGCGCTCACCTAGCTGGGATAGGGACTAAGTCAGTACAACCTACTGACTCCGCACAACTCGGTACATCCAACCCATCGCCGAATCTTTTTTAACGCCGCTGTAGCCACGAACCTTATACTTCCCCATTGACATCACCAGTTACCATCTCTTACTGGTAGTGTTACTGCCTAAATTCCCGTGGCTCATCCCACGATCTAACTCGCTTCCTTCCTTTCCTCTGATCCTCCATTCTCATAATACTTAGTGAAAGTTCTGCTTATCACTTATCTCCAATGAATCTATCTTGGTTTCTCCTTCCGTTCCGCTTCCTTTCAGTTTTTCGTTTCCTTTTCTTCGCACTTCTTCTTTCTTGATCCCTCTGAATATGTTCTCTATCTTTTTTGCGGCTAGTCCAACCGTCTGGTGGTACGATACTTGGGGAACCCATCTGTACCACAGTCCTTGGAAAAACCATGCAATCCCAACAAATTTTATCAACACCCAACAGTCCATCGGGGTAACCAGAGCTACGGCAGGCGAGTGGGTAGACCTGCTGCACTGGATCTGTTTCGCAAGACCTAGAAGCAAGTGCAAAGAAATCATTTGGTTTAAACTATCTGACAGAAACTATTGGATACTGAAGTTTGGAGTGCAAGTTTCGACGCTCGACCTTCCGGAACTTTTGAATATCTTGGTGACGGCGTGAAAAACTAGTCGGTCAGTAAGAGTGAAACTTGGCACCACTGGGGTGTATGATTGAGTCTTGTTCTCTTTGCTGAACGTTATTTCACCTGGTTGATGGTGTTTTGAACATAAATTCTTGTTCATACACATATCAAACACAACGTCACGCCTTTCCCATCCTTTTTGTTTAGTTCTGTTTCACTTGTTTTGTCGTGTGGGTATTAGGACTTTACAGATATCTTGGATTGGTTTTGAGTCATTTGTATTGCGCGCTTTTGATGCTGATTCGGGTAGCAAAGTTTCAGTTATCGATGTATATTCCATTAAGTTTCAAGGACTGCCTACTGTATATTTGCATGTGATTGGATGCATTGACAGGGTTGGGCTTTTCTCTAGATTTATCTTACTAGCACATATCGTTCTGGACTTGGCTACTTTGGGGAACATGGCCACCTGCATTTCTGTACCACCTTACTAAGGTGATTTTTGAGTGTAAAGGTTTCTCTTGTATATCTTTTTTCCTGTCGTAAATTTTGTGTTCTGCCAGAACGTTCCTTTTAGTCATTTAAATACTTCATCAAAACTGTTTAATGAAGATGGGATGAGATGATTTGAAGTAAAAGTAGCAATTGGAATGCATGGGCTTTCAGTATGCACTAGCTCCTTTGTTCCTATCTTGTCTGTATCTCACTTTGCAACCTTTTCCTCTATATAATGAATTGAAGTATAAAAAAATCGACAAAAGGAAGAAATTCGATCAGAAGCTAGTGGCTTAGTGTTTACTTGTTCTTCGTGAGATTCGTCGATCATGGTTTTCACTATGCATTGAGTCGTAGGTGGGTTCTGCTGAAGAACTCCAAACTAGATTGAAATAACTTGAGCACTCCATGGCACCCAGTGTTGACGATTCCGGGTGAAGACTTTTGGAACCAGGTAATACCTTATCAACCTTCAAAGCAAATACTTTCGTCCTTTTGTTCTTGCTTATCATTGAGGAGCGTTTAGAGTTTGATAAACCTCGTCACCAATCTATTGCAGATGTGTAATAACAAGTAGGAAGTTGGATACGCTTTTGGTTTGCAGGAGAGTTCTCGATTTTTAGTTTAATTGCAGTACAAGTTTGTTACTTGAACATTATATATTCTACCACAAAATACGTAGACACTTGTAGTAAATACATGTGAATCACTTCAGTATTCACTCACCACTGAAGTGCATGACCCTTAAATGTACTTGAAATATGAACATATATAAGACTAAATTTCGAAAGTTCTCATCACATTGATACTAACCTAGGAATCGTTGGAAACCTAGGAGCCCTTTAGACCTGTTCTATCCTGGCTTTCAACTAATCAGCTGTGTGCATGCAGCCCGAGTGCTTCCTGCTTTTAAAAAAGTGTTCTAGTTGGTCTTAATCGCTGTCGAAGGCTACGTTACAGACAGTTCATTTACTACAAATCCCCTACACTGGACATAACAAGCCTGTTTGAGAACAGATGTGGTTGGGCAGACCTAAATTGTCGTTATCTTAAAAAGAGACGAAGAAACTACACTATTTTTCGTGTCCTGTCAGTACATTCTGGCTAACTTCACAGTTTAAGTAGTAACTTTTGATCACTTGGAATTATCAGTTACCCTAGTTAATTAGTTTGAAGTTATTTTGCCTAGTAATATCAGCCCTAGCTCTTTTCCAAGGCTAAACCCAGCTTAGCTGTTAAGGTCTAGACCTTAATAATATGTGGCGTTTACTCGCCTTTAGTTCTATAGGTTTACCACACATTTTCCTTCACAAACCACATCTTATCGCAATGGGAATGTCATCTTGTTAGTGTATTGTAAATAGTATATATTCCATGGTTCAACTGACAGTTGTGGCTCATGTTCGAATGAATTTAAGCAGGTTGTTCATTTTTTATTTTTACCAAAAGAATCCGTATAACTAGTTCGCTAGGTGGAGCAATAGTTACAGTTTTGACATTCTGTTGTACCAACTTTAAAATTCTTTGGTTCTCATGTCCAATTCGATACAATGTAGCTGTTTCTTCACCCTTATTTACATCGAGTAGTATCAGATTTCTGCCACTCAGGTACGTGTGTAGTAACCTTTTATATTTCGATATATTCCCCCATAATCTACCAATGTAGGCCCAGGAAACTGAAAATGCATTTTTAAGAGTAGTGTTCTGACGTTATCAGATTATCCTATGCCATCAAAACTGTCTGAACAAGACAAACAAATCAACATAGGAACTGTTACAATAGTGCCCCACTTCAAGGTTCCACACTTCATAACGGCATGCCTAGAAGATAAAAATGAATGGGATCAAAATAAGCGTACGCATCATCATCACCATCAATATAAACATAAGACCAGGGTTAGGCATTACTGCGTAACGGTCCGAGTTGCCACAGTTCACATCAGTACATCAAGTAAAAAGGTAGTGAAGTGCAAGATTAAGATTAGAAAATCCAGTCAAAAGAAATGTAAAGCACGAAAAGAGAAAATGGTGAGATTCGATATGGCGTCGTTAAGATAAGGATAATGTGTGTATACATCTGTGCCACTGATATCGGTTCTGAGCTATGTGATAACCTAGAGTCAGTCTCCAACCACTGGTTTCTCTTATCCCGCGGACTCCAACCGGCTAGTCTACATTACCCCAGATGGCTCAAAGCAACAGTCAAAGACTTCATACATTAATGCCATGTTTTGGTCTGGCCGCCTCGAGCCTTTTTCAGCCTGGACCTACTTTGGCCAGCATTGTGTGACGAGACAGACGGCGACTAGGCATACGTAACTCGTGTCCCAACCATCTCAGTCGATAAAGGTTCATAACCTTGTCGACTGATTTACCTCTTCTCTCTAAAACTCTACACCTGACTTCTGCGTTACCCACGTGGTGACACCACGGAATACGGCCTATACTACGAAGGCAACGGTGGTCAAACACTTGAAGCCTTCTCATGTCTTCCACCTTCAATGGCCATGTTTCACAACCATAGAGCAGAACAGAGGGGACTACTGTGCAGGTGCAGTACACGCGACCCTTAATGGACAATCGGACATCACGGCGGCGCCACAGGTGGTGTAAGTTAACGGAAGCCAATCGAGCCGTTTGTATCCGTGTAGAGATTTCATCGGCCACTGAGCCACCATGGCAGGGCTGATCCCACTTCCCAGGCAACTGAAGTGGTCGACACACTCAGTCACTACACTCTCTATTGTTAGCCGCGGTGGTGCACCGTTGAAGACCAATCCTGGAGCGACAATTTGCATTTGGGTGGTGAGAAACGCATCCCAAGCATTCTCAAGTTGTCACTCAAAGTGTTCAGAAGACTGCATCTTGCCAGCGTCTTCACCTAACACGACTATGTCATCTGCATATTCTAGGTCTAACGAAAATTCTCCAGTGATTAGGTCAACGTCTGTGTAATCAGGTGACGGGAGGCAGACCTCCATGAGAATATCTGTGATAAAATTGAATAAGAATGGAGAGAGTGGACACCCTTGATGGACACCACTCGATGAGCATAGCTTTCTGGACATCTCACCATAGGCTCTAACACACCCACAAGTGTTCAAGTAGAGAGCCTTAAATAAGGTGGTATACTTACTCGGGACGCCTTTCAGTGAGAGACATTGCCATAAGACTTTTCGATCAACAGATTCGAATGCCACCTTCAGGTCGAGAAATACAGCTATTGTCGGGCGTCGGTAAACGTGCGCATGTTCCAGAACCTAGTGCAGTGTAAATATTTGGTCGATACACCCACGGTCGTGTCTAAAGCCTGCCTGCTTTTCTCGTGTTTGCTGTTCCCGAGCTCCAATCAGGTTTCGAAGAATTATAGAACCTAGGATCTTGGATACTATGTTCGTCAGGCTGATTTGTCTGTGGTCATCACAGAAGGACTTCTCGCCTTTCTTGAAGACTGGGATAATCAGTGATTTAGACCAGTCAGAGGGGATCGTATTTGATTCCCATATACTGGTTAACACTTCCGTTAACCTAAGAGCACCATCCTTGTATACCTGAGGAGTTAGTCTGTCCGGTCCTGCCGTCCTTCCTCGTTTCAGGTTACCTACAGCTTTCTCGACTTCTGCTAGTGTTGGGGGGCCTATCTCAATTGTCTATTCAGAATCCCACTGGATACCGGGCAACGTAATGGTGCCTGGAGGCCAGTTAAATTGTTCCACGAAGTGTTCTACCTATCGTCCCAGTCGTCTCCCCTGCGAGTGAATCGCAGATCCGTCCTTCTCCGCTATGGTCTCACTAACTGCAGTCGGCCTTTTCCCCCAGTTTCCTTAATAAGTCTTAATAATCGTCTACTGTTACCACTCGTCGCTGCCTTTTCCATCTCTTTAACCTTCATTGCCCATCACTGTTTGCGATCGTTGCGCAGACTTCTTTCAATGTACTTTTAAGTTGTGCTCGCTCTTCATTATACTCAAAGCCTGTAGGCAGGGATGCGTTCACGTGTATCCATTAGTTCGGAAGAAGCTGCTGATATCCACTGACTCTTTAGCCACTCTTTCGGAGTCGGCTGCGGTCTTCAGAGCTGCTTTTACAGCGGACTAAAACTGGCACCAAGCTTCTTCTGGATGAGTGGTAGTCTTATATTCTGATAACTCCCTGGTCAACTCACTGAACACCGCCTTAGTGTTTTCGTTGTCCAACAGCACTCGTAGTGGTTTTGTTCCCAAATTTTTCCTACGTCCATCACAACTCAGGCATATACGCCCTCGTACCAATGCGTGGTCACTATCCAAACACGTACTGCAGAAGGAGCGGGAGTCTTCCACCGATCCTCTCCAGCAGTGACTAATAGCGATGTGGTCTATCTGTGTCCATCGCTGAGTTGAGCTCGGTGAACGCCATATCAGGTAGTATCTTTCTTTATGTCTAAAATTTGTGCTAGCTAAAAATGGGCGGTTATCTAAGCACAGTTGTAGTAGGCGACCACCGTTTTCTGTACGTTCAGCCGGGACTCCGAAAGTGCCACCTAAGTGCCTTTCTGACTCAGTCTACTCACCTGTGAATTGAAGTCACCTGCAACAACCACCACGTCAGAACGTTTGGTTTTCGAGAGAAGGCTAAACAGCATACGGTTGAACTCGTTCTTAACTCCATCCGAACTACAGCCAGTGGATGCGTAAACAGAGATTACAAAGAGACAACGGCGAGTTTCACTACTCCTTTTAGTTCTCAGTAAGCCATTCAGCCGAACAGCACGAAGGCGACTATCAACTGGGATCCAGTCTGGTAGTGAATTTTCTGCCCTAGTGCCTAATGCTATGCCTACAGTTGCAAGACCACGAGAGCTAGCTATCGAATCTCCAGAAACTCGAAGGGTGAATTTTGCCAATGAAGCCTGTTGACCAGTTTGACGGAGGGTGCGGACATTGAAGGCTCTAATGTGTAATTTGGAGCGTAGTTTAAGGAGACCAATGATGCTATTCTGTGAACTCAGATCGTTGTCGAAGGCTGCAGATCTACGAGAAATTGAACATGATGTAATATCGTTAGTTGAGAGACGTGAAGAAAGATTAGAAGGTAATGATGGGAGAGGTGGATAGCGGTCTGAGGAAACTTGAGTGCTGATCGAGTTGTGAGGGTGGTTGACACTTCCCGGCTGCCCACATCGTGAAAGGCTATTTCTCCTTGAGGTACCTAAAGGAGATTTGTGTGACCTCAGAGCCCATCAGACATATGCTTGAGGCCTGTCACATACAGCCTTTTGTGTATGGTTGTTTCGAGGCTTGGTTGTTCTAACGCCGGATAGACAAAAACACCATACCGCACCGGGAGACCGCAAGGCATGGTGGAGTGTGTTACTTTTGAGGCCGACGTTTTCTAAGCCCTCCTCCTTCCCAAAGGAAAGGTACTGCTGGTCATCCAAAGGAAATAACTAACTGCTGTCACACCCCATCTAGCTAGCAGCAGTACCTCTTCGCTCGCAGACGCCAATCATAGTGTAGTGATTTACACCACAACGGTAACTGCTTTTCTTCTAGCTACTATCCAATAGACCTTTCTGGTGTGGTAGGACTTTGAGGGAACAAGTGTTCCACCAGCATAGCTCGTCGGGTCATTGTGATGTACAAGCCCGACCACTTCAAGGTCGCAGCTATCGGTCGTATGCCTAGGTATGCATGCAGCGAGTCTGAAAGACAGGAAGTCAGTTAAGGATGTCTGGGTTGTCAGTCATAGTAGGATGTGGAGGTGTAGTTTGCTTAAAATTTGTGTAACAACGTATCGTTTTTGAACTGTCTACAAATGATGCTTCGGTTTGGATTTCGGATGGATCATATCAGCCAAGTTGCTGATGTTTGCTCGGGTCGATGTGCAGGAAGCAAGTATTAAAACTCTAACTGCATTCTGCAAGCTCCCAGTATTTTTTTTTGTGTTGCTTGCCAAAAACTGCTTTCTGTAATACGTTATCCATGAAGCTTGGTTAAGTCCATTCTTGTACTGCAACAGCGATGTGCTGATTTTGAATGCTGTGATCGATAAACTCATCCTTCTGTTACGTTAACTGTAAGAGATCTCATAATTGTTTCATTTAAATGCTTGAGTAGCTCGAATGCACAACCTATAATTTTTCTTTAAGAAAGTATTAGTTAGATTAGTTTTTATCATCAATCTACAGAACTATGAAGATGTCACGCGTCAGCGTATGCATTGGATTTTGAAGTAGTATGTCGGGGATTTGAATCCCTCTCCATCTACTTAAGCCTTGTTTACTGGGTAATGTCACTAGCCCTTACAGTTTGTGAAACAAAGCGTAATACTTAAATGTGTACCGGATTAAGTCGCATTATTTTTAGAATTAGAAATCTGAATCTGACTAAAGCAATCGCTTCTTCTGGGAAGTTTCAAGGCAACAGATCATTTCAGTTACCTAAATATTTGCTTCATAATGTGTTTTTGAGGAATCTGAAATCATGAGAGGCTATCTTTTATATCTATGGGTTCATCAGAAATGATATTTTGTCATTTTAGTTTAAACTTAACCAGAGGATGAGTGTAAATCTCATCTCCAGTTATCTATTTCCTATTTTTATAGAATCCTTTCACCGTTAATGCTGGTTGTATAATGAATGATATTGGGACTGGGTATGGTTCTCCACAAATTCAGCGAACTTATCTCATTCCGCTTGCTGAACGGGTATGTTTGGAAGTGTTAATTTACTTTTCGATAGTTTACAAAGATTTGTATAGATCCTTCATCTGTCGATGATTTTGTAGACTATATAATTCATGATAAGTCGACCAGCTGTAATAGATCCAATATGAGGTTATGGCGTAAAGATGCTTGCAAAGGTACAGCTCACTTTTTTAATTTGCCTTTCTTTTTTTAGCCCTAAGACTTATAAATGCACGTACAATGGTCAATCTTGTTCAAAAAGATTCACCAGTTATTGCTGATCAGACTGAGTCTTCTGTGTCGGACATGACAGGGGATACAGACAGAAAAATTCCTCGTAAACGATCAAGGTTAAACTTAGAAGCAACAAGTTAGTAAACACCTCATTCTATATGTTGTTAGTAACTGAATCCATCATTCCACGAACCACTTCTTCTACATTATCAGATCTTAGACTCACTGTACCTAAAGATATACGAGTAAGTGTTTTATGTTTCATTCAAAAAATATTTTAGAGGCAAGTAAAAGGCTTCCTCGTATCCCATCTATTTTCGAACATGGGACTACCAGTTTGGCCAACTTTACTAATCAATGGTCCACCATTCTGTGGCAAAACCACATTAATTGAAGCAGCTTGTGGAGTAAATATCATTTCGTTTCATCCCCTAATGAATTCAAGACTTTAGGCCTGAAGATTATTACTGTATCAGTTGGTACAGTACCATCATCTATGCGTTCCTGGATGGATGTATTCAATCAAGCCAAGGTACTCTCATTTATCTCTTTACTTAAAAGCCAACAAGGGTTGTGCACCGTGTATTTTACACTTGGATGATATTGAAAGCATGGAGAAACATTCCTCCCCTGTCGGGACATTCCGTCTTACTTGTCTTCTGAAAAGTCAAATACTTAGAGGTAGAAACATCTATATCGTATTATGAATATGTAATGAGTAGCATGCTTACAAAATTTCATATTTTATAAATTCTTCTGGGTACATTTTTGATGTTTATACTGAAATGACTATCAAGTATCCATTTAACAAGTTAGGTAGACTATATCCATTTCACTCAAAGTTACTCTTTAAGGGAATACAACCAAATCTTTGACTTCGAGCAAATCTATGTTAAGCCATAAAAGAGGTTATATAACGCACACTGATGTAAAAGTCTTTTTATAAACCTTTATAATCTCTTATTGACAATCGACAATGAGCATCGCGTGCTAATTTTATAGTATGGAGGTTTATCTTATTGGATTAACCATTGGGCTTTGAAGTAGTGGATTTGATGTTTATCGGTTATTATTATAAACCTTCACAATAAGTGTGCCTCACCCTAGTACAAATACATTGATTGGGTTCAGTTTTATCATATAAATGTAGTTAAAATGTTTTCTTTCTTCATACTTCTGAAAGTGAAGGCCCTAATTTTCCTGTAACGATTAACAAATAAAAGAGTGTGAACAGTAACTACAAGAGTTTCAGTAAGGTAATAGTTACTTTCAGCACGCAATATTTACTGACTTAGCTAACCAATGACAGCCAACTGTATGCTGTTACTGAACACCCTAACTTCTTGTATTTAACTATTACTTGCTACTCCAACTGTAACTATGTGTTCTGTATTAACGCAGTTCCCAGCCATCTGTCCGTGTAAATGTAATATATATTCTCACATATTAGTAGTGCAACTCAACCCAGTATAGGTTCATGCACTAAGCGATGAAACATTTTTAGTGTGAGTTCCTATAATACTGCCCATTTACCCAGACTGAGGTAGGTGTAGCGGGATCGGAATCCAGTTTCCTTCACTGGGAAGTCGAATCCTTAATCCACTGGACCAAATTCATGCAGGTGTATGTATCTCAATCATAAATAGACGTCGAATTCTACCGTAATTCTCTCTAATCATCGTTGGCTGGTTCAAGTATGTCATGTATAACCCGTGGTCGAATAAGACTTAGTGTCAAATACATTTTCACTTCTCCAGTGAGTGCTTAATCATCTCTCTTCATAGCATTGCTTACTTGGTGCGATAATGTCGTGTAAGGTCTGTAGTCACGTTTGAGATTGTTACTAAGTGAGGTCAATTCAAAAAACCACCTCAGTAGCTCACATATGTCTTGCACTTATATTTGTAACGGCTCCCTTGCTTTTTACTGTTTGTTAGCTATACAACTGTTTGCGTAAATAAATGCGAATGTAAATCAGTAATGAAAAGCAATCTGAAATAGCATATGGTTGCCTGCATTTATCGTACCTGACTGATTCTTTTTTCTGATCATTCTGTTTTATGTCCGATACTAGCTGTTTAGAGACACTTCGCAAGGAATACTGGGTCTTTGCTTACTGCTTCTTGGCACTTGTCAGCAGGGCGTATCTGAAACCTCAAGGGGACTGATGTTTCGTGAGGTCGGAACCTCCGTCACCAATTGTTGCAGTAAAGGGTCTTACCTCCGGTCTATTCAAGGGGTGATTGATCTCTTGTAGGACTGAATTAGGTATATTGATTACTGGATCATAACCAACTTCATGTTGTTTATATCTAAGCATGAAACCTAGTTCAAGCAGGGCTGGATTCCTACTGATTGCCTCCAATTATATTACATCAGTTACAGTAACACCTTAATGCTAAGTGTCGTAGCTTGGTAACCACATCACAAAATGGTCAATACACCTCGGTCAACACTTAATGACTAGACAATATGGAATTGCTCTCGAGTGACCAATCAGTGTACTATTTATGGCTTCACTAACTGATAATATTTACCATACTTTGGTTTTTATTGATTACTAGGCAGCTTTTAATGACATCCAAGTAACAAGCAGTTGGCACTTTTGAGTGATATATCTGTGAGATAAGTGTAAGTTTTGCTCAGTCTATATTTAATCAAATATTCTTTAATTTCAGATATGATAAATTCAGGTGTTGTACTTATTGGTGAAACTCGATGTCTGCTTGCCAGCTTACCTCAAAGTATTTTAGATTTGTTTACTCAGAAGTTGACATTCGGCATGTTAAATGAAACGCACCGTTTGAAGTGAGTTTATCTATCTTCATTGATGTTTTTTGAATGTTGTTTGTTGGAGCAACTGTTGTTTGATTAGTAATTAAATATGATTGCATTTTAATACTTACACTTAGCTTTGGTCTACTCTTTCTCGTCCTCATAGTTAAAAGCAGAACATTTCAATGGTTTCATTCAGGGTTTTTGAATAGACACTGACAAACATGGTAGAACTTCCCAGCAGTTTGCAAAGTACTACGGAGTAGCAAGCAAAAAACAAGTGGATGAAAAAGACCTATACTAAAGTGGACAGAAGTGTTTAAGAGGAGAAGGAACTTAGAAATGGTTATTCAAAACACTCCAGCTTTAGAAGACTTCAAAGAATGGATGCACGTACTCCATTGTGAACGAATTCCAGCCATGTCAACTACTGGTTACTATCACCTCAAGGACCTCAGTCAGGTAGCCTACACCTCCGCATACGGTTCAGACCAACAGTCATAGATTTCATCGACTGGTGCCATATATTGGTCTGGTCATCCTGAACACTTCCATTCTCATTCAGCTGCTCCTAGCATAGCACGAGGTTGGTGGTGGTGGATCAAAATGTGCATTACATATACAAGCCACCCCAGCCGATGAAGATTCACAACCTCATCAGTCGACGTGCTTGCTTTACCTAGTACCCTTCACCTGACCTCAACACTACTCACATTGTGGTTCCACCACATTCGAGCGATGCTACGAAGACACCTATGGTCGAAATACTGCAACTATTTCATGTCTCATACTTTTAACTGTCATATCTCACAGCTGTGTAACAGGACAGAATACTCGTCCTCTTACAGTCATTCGGACATTTTGCCAGTTGGCACCAGAGGTGATGGAAGTTAGTAAGTGCCAAACGCAGCTTTTGTTTCTCAGCTAAGACCTCGTTAGTATCCAACCCGTTTGGGCCGATGCAACTCTTTAAGCAAGTAAAGTGGTCGACACATTCTTTCCCTTCACTCCCTATCACTAGACTGGGGTAGACTTAGACCAGTCCTGAAACATCACCTTACATTTAACTGTTGCGAAACGCATGCCAAACGTAGATAGGTTTCTGCTTAAGGCGTTTAGAAGGCCTTACAGCCTATCAGGGTCTCCACCTAGTAGGTAATCTCTTCTGCATAATCCAAGCCAACCAGATCCTCCAGGGAGTAGATCAATCTGTGTAAAGTCTGAGGTAGCTAAGAATGTGTTCATTAGAACATCGCTAACAAATTTGAGCAGCAACAGTGACAATGGGCATTCTTTACAGACTCCTAGTTGGCGTCATTTCAGATGGCAACTCTCCGTGAGCCCCACCTGGCTGCATGAGTTCGAGTAGAAAGCTTTGATTAGGGTTACAATTTTACCGGTACTCCCGTCGTTGACACTGCTGCAACACTTCATAGTCGACGAAGTCAGACACCACCTTCAGGTCAAGAAATATGGCAAGTGTCGGCTGCCTATAGGTATGCCTGTGTTCCAAAACCTGTAGGAGGGTAAAAATATGATCGATGCATCCCCGTCCAGGTCTGCGACCCATCTGGTTTTCTCGAGTTTGCTGTTCTCGAGCTCGGGTTGGGTGTCAAATAACAATGAATCCTAAGATCTTGGAAAAAATATTGGTCACAAGAAGACTTGAATAATCAGTGAAGTAGACCAGTCTGACGCCACTGCCTCTGATTCCCATACACTACCTAGTACCTCCGTCAATCAAATCAGCGATTTCCTACCTCTACCGTTGAAAACTATATGACAAACTGTCAGGTTCTGCTGCTTTGTATTGTTTCAAGTTTGATACAGCTATCTCAACTTCAAGAAGAGTTGGAGGATCGACATCTACGTCCCATTCAGGTCCAGACTAGATGTTGGACAACTGAAGCGTTTCTGAGAGCCGGTTGAACTGGGCTACAAAGTGTTCTGCCCAACGTTCTAGCCACTAGTCCTGGGAGATTATCAGGGTAACATCCTCTTCTATGATAGCTTCACTAACCGTGGTCTTCTTCTTGCTGATACCTTCAATAAGCCTAAGTAGTTGCTGAATGTTACCCAACGCTGATGTCCTCTCCATCTCTCTAGCTTTCGTCGCCCACCACTGCTTGCGATCGACGCGAAGACTCTTGGTCAACTTACTTTTGAGTTGGTTTAGCTCGTCATCGTGGTCAGGGCCAGCTGGAATCAATCTTCTCACACCAATTATTTTGGATGATGTCGTGGAAATCCAATGACCTTTTTTGACCTTCAGGTCTAGGCTACCAATTATTCTTACCGCTATTTCTACAACAGGCTTAATATCGCACCAAGTTTCTCGAGGGCCGTTGCATTCAAATAAGTGCTTAGCTACCTCCTTCCTAACTGCCGTCTCATCTTTGAATTGAGCACACATATGCTTCATTACCTCCTGTTTTCTGCGACCAGTAAGGCGCAGACATACGCGTGATCGGATTCCAAGCAAGCACTTCAGAAAGAGCAGTGGTCCTCCAACAATGGCTCATAGCGATATGTTCTATTCACGATCATCATCACGAGCATCGTCGTATGTTATTGTGCATGACAACTTCAAGTGACTTTTTGTAGAATTGCGCTTACTAGTATCTTCGAATTATGATATCTGCCGTAAAAATGAGTTTGAAAATAAGGAGAAAAGGTTATATTTCTGATTAGTAACAGATGTACATTTTATGCCGTTAAAATGTTCCTGGATTTCGCTTGAACCACTGATGTTGTTAGTCAACCGAATACACAATTCTTGTTGACACTAGCTGTGAACTGCAGAAATCTTAGCAATGGATTGCATTATTTGTGTGAATATCAGCCATCAGATCCAATAAGTACCACAAATCCAACACAAAACTGAAGTATTTTTATCAATAGTAACTTGCAATGGAATTTATGACGCTCATATGCCAACATATACTAATCGATTCGGTTCACTAAAACAACCAACAAGTACTGGTCAGACGACGAAGTTTAATATTTCATTGAATGTTCAATTTACCTGTCTTCTCAGGATTTTATCAACAATAACCAGTAGTTTAGGCTCAATCTATCCAAGAGTTTAAGAAATCTTTAGTACATACCAGATTGCTTTTGATAATAAACAACTCAACACAATCACTAGGGTGCCTAAATTGAAGTTGTGAATATTACAGGCTATCATATTGATATTGACTGACTGACTATCTATTTAATAACGAATATGATATTACCTTCGTCATTTCTTTTATGAAGTTCTAAAATCACTAGACAAATCGTGATATTTTTCTTATGAATTTATGATCTTGTGACGACACTACAGAATTTGAAATCTAGTACTTTCCAGATAATCCAATTTTTATATCAAATTAGGTGATTCATAAACAATCCAAGTCGAACATGAGGACAGTTACTCAATGACGACATTGGATGTAGTTCACGCTATACCGTGAAATAACAGAAGTAAATGCGGACCATTTGATTCTGATCCAGTGGCTGAATGGTAACATGTTGGTTACGGGAGCTGAAGGTCCTGGGTTCCTTCTCTGGTAGGGTCATGGATGCACGCTGCTGAGGAGTCTCGTAGTAGTACGAAACAACTGTCCATTGCTCCCAGGTTTCCAATGTTCCTCCAACTGATATCAGTTCATGATGAATTCCAACCTAAAATCAATTATTAAACCTCCATAAACCTCTGAATAGAATCATTAAATTAATTTACATTCTTCTCAGGGTTCACTCTTATCTATTGAAACATATTTCACTTGGCTTTTTGTTTCAACACAGTCGCATTCAATAATTGATTCATTATTCCCTATTCCAAATCAGCTTGTTACGACAATATTTATCAGATGATGTTGAAATATCTATGTCAACAAAATCAGTTGATCAAAGTTCCAGTCCATTACAACTCAGTGAGAATTTAACGTGCCTTGAGTTAGCACGTCGAACACCTGGTTATGAGGTTGGTGATTTGATTCGTTTTGTAGCTCAGTTAAAAATGGCTTCCCTAACAAACGGATTGGATAATGGCGATGATGATGATGATGTACATCTGCTGGAATTCGCTGAAAATGGACAAGAAATTCCGGTTAAATTCTCACCTGGACTATGTACTGGGGATGCTACAGACAACAATTGTCTATGGGTATGATTGCCTTATCTATACTTTCATTTATTGCTTTCTAGTTTAGTGAAGTCGATGTCCTACGGAGCTGCATGAAATAAGTGGCTGTTACAATGCTTTATTCAGTTTATGATCTCTTTTGAAATCGCACCACCTGAATGTGTAGTTTTTCCTGGTTGTATTGTGTCCCATGAGCTGAATTATTTAGTCATCGAGCTTTCATCGTCTTCCCAGACAACATCATCAACATTAACTTCAGTATGAAGTGAACTGTAAATATCTCTCCATGAGTGATTTAGTAGCTTACCCTGACAAAGTGGTTTGTGATTGGTTATTGTGTCATTCATTGACTGTATAGACATTCCTGTTGACTGTTCCTCTGCTTCTCCTCTGACCTTTCTGTCTCTCACCATTTCTCTCATTGCTTGGTTGATAGACTGGGTCTATGTCAATACATCTATTGATTGCTGACTGACTGACTGACTAACTAACCTGAATGCCATGCTTCTACGAATTCTCTGATATTCGTTGTGTTCCCTCTCTCTGTCCAATATTTCTACATTGTCGAAATTGAATTCATGTCCATAGTTGTTATCCACGTGCATTGAAATGATTGACGAAATGTCACAACGTTTAATAGCCAATCGATGTTCATGTACACGACGACGACGACGAAGAGGACGACTACCTCGTCCAATGTAGTACTGACTACAGTTATTACAGTTGACTTTGTAAACGATGTTCAGTTGGTCTTCTTTGGTTGATGCGTCATTTGGTCTGCATTATAGTGTTTGCAGGGAATTTGTTGGTTTATGAGACACACCAATTCCAACTGGTCTCAGTAATCTGGTCGTGATTTCTGATATATCCTTTATGTAGGGTAGGGTAGGGTAGGGTAGGCTGATGCGTTTGTTCATCTCTGTTGATGACTTTGTAGTTGATGTTGAACGGGATAGGAATCTTCTGATAAAGTTTCGTGGGTAGCCGTTCTTCCTTAGAATGGACATCAAGTAATTTTCTTCATTTCCCCGTGAAGTTACTGCACTGCAGTGTGTTCTCGCTCTTTTGAATAGAGTCCGCACGCAACTAATTTTGTGTGTTGTTGGGTTGTTGATACTGTAGTTGGGTGATTTGATCAGTGTGTGTTGGCATCCTGTACACTTGGATTTCAAGCTTTCCAGCATCTGTCCTACTGACTAAAACATCTACGACCCAATCTATCAACCAATGGGAAAAATGATCAACGACGAAAATGTCAGAGATGAAGCAGAGGAACAGTCAACAGGAAAGTCTATGCAGTCAATGAATGACACAATAACCAATCACAAACCGCTTCGTCAGGGTAAGCTACTAAATCACTCATGGAGAGATATTTACAGTTCACTTCATACTGAAGTTAGTGTTGATGATGTTGTCTGGGAAGACGATAAAAGCTCCACGACTAAATAATTTAGCTCATAGAACACATAATAACCAGGATGACTCAGTCCATTCGATTGCATCTGCCATTTGTCTTGCTTTGTTATTTCTTCTATGAAAAGTTTAGTAGTGGGGTGATACTTCATTGTAGATCTGTGTAGTCTGATCTGCGAAGGCGTGAAATTTACCCTGAAGCTTTGTTGTTTTGACAAATGATCGGTTAGTTAGCATTAAATGGATTCTACATAGCTTTCATCATGATGTTTTATGCTGTATGCCCTGGGCGTTGATTGTACGATTGTGCGTATGAATATGGTGTCTCGTTCAAATATTTTTCCTAAGGATTCAAGTCGTCAGACTCGTTATGAGACATTACAATACTACTTAACGGTCCACTACACTCCATCACATAAAGACGCTGGGCAGCAACATGAAAGATGGGAAAATGTAATCAAAAATTGCAGAAAGTCATTAGAGGTGAAGAAAAGGGAATGAGATGAAATGTAGTCAAATGTGACATGACTATTAGGATTAGGATTATTTATAGATTAATCTGGATTACTGATATTGATTATGAGTCGTATCACCGAGGGTCACCAACCACCAATTCCGACTGTCATACAGACCGCAACGGGTGGGGCCAATTAAGTCGGACGTGAGGACAGTCACTCGATGAGGACATTAAATTGAGGTTACGCTATATCGTGAACTGACAGAGGTAGGAAGTGTAGATCATTGAATACGGACCCAGTAGCTCAGTGGCAACGTGCGGGTCGCGGAACCTGAAGGTCTTGTGTTCGACCTCTGGGGTGCGGGGTCTAGGGCGCCCGCTGCTAAGGAGTCCCATACTAGGACAAAACAGCTATCCATTGCTCCTAGGTTTCCAGTGGTTCTCCAACTCCAACTCCATAATGAATACTAACCTGAAACCCAACGGGAAAGTCTACATTCGCGTATCAGCTCAAGGTATCAGTCAGAGACTTCATTGACTGACGCCATTTTTTCGTAAGGCTTTTTTCTAGCTTCAACCTACTTCGGCTAACATTGCAGTTTTGTGAACTGATTTGAAGTGGATTTCTAACTACGTATTTTGTTTAACATTACCAAGTACTTATCAATTTTACTCAATGGATCATAAATCATTGGCCAGTCTTTTACTCTTTCTATCAATATTTATCAAAGTCTATCCACTGAACCTACAATATGGTCAATCATCTTCCTCCATGGACGTGTGCTGCGTTTGTGACACGCACACAGAACCCAAATATGGTCATTAACTTGATTTTAACCGGTCGATATGCTGAATTTAGGAAGTTCACTTCTCGAGTTTCTGGAGGTTCAATCTCACAGGATTTCAGGTTGTTGTAGCATTTAGCGCACTACTCGACTGGATCCCAGTTGACAGTCACCTGTACGCTGTTCGACTGAACAGCACAGTGAGGACCGAAAAGAATAGCGAAACTCGCCGTTATCTCTTTGTATTCTCTGCTAACTGGCTGTAGCTCAGATGAAGTGAACTTTGAGTTCTGCCGAAAACTCCGTAGCCCCCTACTGAAAGCCGGACGTTCAGACGTAGTTGTCGTTGCAAATAATTTCATCGCACAAATGAGTAGGCTAGTCAGACAGATAAATACCTTGGGAACATTTTCAGAATCTCAGATGAACCAACAGGTAACGGTGATCACCCTCTACAACTGAGTTCAGACAACCATCTATTTCTGACCAACGCAAACTTCAAAGATAAAGAAGTGACATTATCTGATGTGGCATCCACCAACTTCAACTTAACGGTGAACACAGAGAGATCATATTGTTGTAATTGATCGCTGGAGAGGGTAAGTGGGAGATTGCTACTCCTCGGGGAGCACGTATTTGGACAGCGATCGCGCATTGATTTGAGCACCCAAACGTCTTCACCAAAATGGGCGTAGAAAGCAGCTGCTAAGAAAGTGATCCGGGCGTAGATCGATGTTGACAACACTGAGGTTGTTTTTTAGTGAGAAACATTTACAGTAACAGAACAAAACCATTCTTCCAGCAGAAGCCTGGTGCCACCTCCTGTCTGCTATAAACAGCGGTAAAGACCACAACTGGCTTTTGGAAACAGGTTAGGAAGCATCAGCGGCTTCAAAATTAATGGATGCACATTCATGGCATTCCTGCAAGGTCCGTGTACGTAACATAAATTTGGTCTGAAAAGAAGCATTTGATCACGTTCTAGATGAATTTTCACCATGGAAATGCACTTTGTTACTCCATGACTGGTGTATGTTGATACCTCGTCTAGGAATTATGGGTAAAGTGTCTGAGGTCGTTGACCACTTGACTGACTTACTTTACAAGTCGGATCAGCCTTATTAGGTTGGTAAATGGAAAATTTCTGCAGGAATAAAATAGGCTCAGTAGTTGGTCTTCTGTAACTTTGGCCATTTGTAGTGCTGTTGTGAAATCTGCTTTTGTCTGAAGGTTTGAGTCTACTGCACAACAGCCCACTTTTTTCTACCATCACCATTAGGGATGAAGCAGGTTAGAAGGTTTCAGCTGTTCGGCTGTGGTTGGCTTCATAGCACAAGTTGTGTTGTGTGTTTAGGTGGCACCAGGTTATAAACGTAGAAGTCAAGCGGACTGTTTGTGGTAGGGGGAAGTTATCTGATGAAATTATAAAGCTTCATCAGCTCAGATGACTGGTACTTGTGTTATGCATGTCTAGTATCCATCTACTGAGTCATATAATGTTAACTGGGATAGATTCAGGCTGAATAAAGGTTTAAGGCAGTCAAACATCGCATCAATCTACAAATGTGTTCCTGTTGATCTAAGCCTTTTTATAATGTCTGAACTCCTCGGTCGGGGTCCTTGTGAGAACACAAGTAGGAGGTTGGATACCGTACACGATACTAGTCATGATTAGTTTTAGTGATATGGATGCATCGACACATTATCGTTATACTGAATTTCATTACTTTCCCATTGTTTCCTGTTCTGCTTTCTTGGCTTTCTACCTTGTTATTTGGTTTTTTGCTTATTTCTCCATCTTGATACCTTCTTGTTTGACATGTTGATATGAGATGTAGGAAATTTGACCATTGCGCTGTATTGTCAGGTCTTATGTTGATCTTGATCGGCTAACTGAAGTTATACTGTCGTGAAGAATACAAGCGTTCATTTAAAAAGAATTAGATAGTATAGTAGCTGAAAATTACTATTAATTTTTACATCTCTAGATAATTTTCATTCAATCAAATAAGTAAACGCCTAATAGTTGAAGAATAGTGTTTTATGCGGTTACTTTTGTTGTCTCATCGTTGATTGAACTGAATTGATCGGTGTCTATTGGGATATGGGTACCCGCGTAGATGCCTCGATGTTGCCTGTTTTTTTAATTTTATATTAATGATGTATGGTGGTCGTGGATTCGCATCTTAGTAGGAACAACATCGGTTACTCGGAGGCAGTTTCATCCAGCTGACGAGTAGTCTCAAATAGGATGAAACGCGCGTTTTGGATTCCACTGTTAGCCACTATCCATTATTAATATAACGTTGCTTTAGTTTAACTTCTATTTTTCTCCTCGTGTCATTTACAGAAGTATCTTTATATAAAGGCATACAAACTTCAAATAATTTTGGTCAGTCAGTTTACGAGTAGTATATGCTGAAAATGGTAGTTTCCAGAATCGTGGTAGGCGTTCTTCATGTTATTAGGCCAGTTTTGTATATTTCTTATCATGTTCTACTATGCATTCAGATAGCTATGACTCGCGTATCGTGATGCAGTTTTTTATCATGGATCGATATGAGCTAGGAAACTGTTGAAACACAATCATTTCTCTCCATTTCGGCACTTCATTGGGATGGGTTTCCACTATTCCACATTAGATTGAACCCAGCAGATCTCGTGGATAGCATATCATCATTCAATCACCGAATAAGAATCCAGTGGTCCACATTCTTCAGTCGCTATCCATTTATGAAGTAGCAACCTGATCATTTTCCAATGTCATCAATCGATATCGGTTCTCATAGCTAACCTCATTAACGCTAAAGCTTTTGATTTAGAACCTCTTCCATATGAGTCATCATAGTTAATTACGTTTGTTTTGTTGGTTTTCGCCCATCTAAGCCATCGAGTTTATTCGTGTAGGTTGTTTGTTATTCGATGTTGTGGAAGTGTCCAGCTTCTACAACCAGGTGGTGAAATATGTCTCATGTCTCTCTTACCGAGAACTTATATCTCCATATATCAGGTTACCAATAATGAAAATTATCTGCTACATGAATGTTTCTTACTTTCACTGGCTTTTTATGTACACCCTTTCTGGTAGTCAAGCAGATAACTTTGTTTCAATTGGAAATTTACAGTAGCAAATTTATTTAGACTAATAATAATTTTGTATTTTTTCAGAACTCGATTAAACATCCTCTAATTGTAACAAGAGAAATGGTTGAAAAAGCATTAACTATTGTTGTCCCAGCAGTTAAAAATACAGCTGAATTTGTAACTATTCCAGATATAACATGGGCTGATGTTGGCGGTTTAGAAACAACTAGACAGCAGTTATACAATCGTTTTATGGTAAGATGATTCATACTATCTTAACATTCTTCATGAATTAATCTCAAAAATCGTATTGCTGTTATTTCCAGTTAGATGCATGGATACATTAAGTCATCTTAGTTGTAATGTGTTCTATGAGCTAAATTATTTAGTCGTGGAGCTTTTATCGTCTTCCCAGACAACATCATCAACACTAACTTCAGTATGAAGTGAACTGTAAATATCTCTCCATGAGTGATTTAGTAGCTTACCCTGACGAAACGGTTTGTGATTGGTTATTGTGTCATTCATTGACTGCATAGACTTTCCTGTTGACTGTTCCTCTGCTTCATCTCTGACATTTTCGTCGTTGATCATTTTTCCCATTGGTTGATAGATTGGGTCGTAGATGTTTTAGTCAGTAGGACAGATGCTGGAAAGCTTGAAATCCAAGTGTACAGGATGCCAACACACACTGATCAAATCACCCAACTACAGTATCAACAACCCAACAACACACAAAATTAGTTGCGTGCGGACTCTATTCAAAAGAGCGAGAACACACTGCAGTGCAGTAACTTCACGGGGAAATGAAGAAAATTACTTGATGTCCATTCTAAGGAAGAACGGCTACCCACGAAACTTTATCAGAAGATTCCTATCCCGTTCAACATCAACTACAAAGTCATCAACAGAGATGAACAAACGCATCAGCCTACCCTACCCTACCCTACCCTACATAAAGGATATATCAGAAATCACGACCAGATTACTGAGACCAGTTGGAATTGGTGTGTCTCATAAACCAACAAATTCCCTGCAAACACTATAATGCAGACCAAATGACGCATCAACCAAAGAAGACCAACTGAACATCGTTTACAAAGTCAACTGTAATAACTGTAGTCAGTACTACATTGGACGAGGTAGTCGTCCTCTTCGTCGTCGTCGTCGTGTACATGAACATCGATTGGCTATTAAACGTTGTGACATTTCGTCAATCATTTCAATGCACGTGGATAACAACTATGGACATGAATTCAATTTCGACAATGTAGAAATATTGGACAGAGAGAGGGAACACAACGAATATCAGAGAATTCGTAGAAGCATGGCATTCAGGTTAGTTAGTCAGTCAGTCAGTCAGCAATCAATAGATGTATTGACATAGACCCAGTCTATCAACCAAGCAATGAGAGAAATGGTGAGAGACAGAAAGGTCAGAGGAGAAGCAGAGGAACAGTCAACAGGAATGTCTATACAGTCAATGAATGACACAATAACCAATCACAAACCACTTTGTCAGGGTAAGCTACTAAATCACTCATGGAGAGATATTTACAGTTCACTTCATACTGAAGTTAATGTTGATGATGTTGTCTGGGAAGACGATGAAAGCTCGATGACTAAATAATTCAGCTCATGGGACACAATACAACCAGGAAAAACTACACATTCAGGTGGTGCGATTTCAAAAGAGATCATAAACTGAATAAAGCATTGTAACAGCCACTTATTTCATGCAGCTCCGTAGGACATCGACTTCATTAAACTAGAAAGCAATAAATGAAAGTATAGATAAGGCAATCATACCCATAGACAATTGTTGTCTGTAGCATCCCCAGTACATGGTCCAGGTGAGAATTTAACGGGAATGTGAGTGCATACAGAAAGCTGTGTATAACTAAAATTAATTCGGTGATTGTTGAGTGATATTCAATAACACAAAACAACTGAAGAATTAAAGATGAACTGAGCTACCAGTGAAATTTCTGACTGATGTGGAGCATCAAAGACTACTGACCTTTTGTTGAACATCAAACTAACTTTATTGTTTATACAAGTTTTGTTGAGATCAAGTTTTGATGTGTGAACTTGTGAAATAAACTCATAATATCACATTTTCTTTACTTGACTATTTTTTTTTTCACCTTGATTCCTGTGAGGTTATCTGAAAGCCTTTTTTTCATCACTAAAGTGTAGGTTATTTTTGTTCTGTATTCATGATGCGTTCAAGTTGTAAGGGGAATAATATCGATCAAAATGCATAGTTTTAATGTGAAAGTTTTATACATATGAGTATGTCACATTTTATGTGACTTTGGTAAAAGTTGATCCGCATGATAAAGTAAACTTGACAATACATATTGAAGTGGTACAAAGTTCTTATTTGTTCCTAAGTGATGCTGATATTGTAGTTGATAAGCGTAATGATCACAGTTAGGTAACCAAATTCATATCAGAGTTTGGGACTAAATTTCGTTGTGTAAAGTGTATTCTACTTATGTAATTTCAGAGTGGTAGTATATCAATTCAAGTTAAATTTTATTTGGACATATCATGCCCAACAGAGGACCGGAATGTTTGGAAAAACATGGGCACCAAGTTAATGCGATTCATTGTATAAGGTGTAATTTACTTGTGTAATCACTGTATAGAACAACTGACAAAATAAAAAAATAGGGTTACATTTCAGTAAACATCTTTGAAATGCTCAAACCTACTGGCATTGTAATACCTAGACTTGATGGTCTGAGAAAACTGCATAAAAAGTGAATTACCTATCCCACCAGTTCTCGGCATGTCAAACTCTCCGTATCATACGACTGCAAAATGGTCAGTATAGCTCCTGAAGCCTCTTTATAGAGAATTTGTAGAAAAGACTTAAGATCTGAAAGTAGATAATAAGTTCATGATATCATGTGATATTTCATCTTTGTTTACTAATGGCGCTTTAGCTGTAACAGTAGACTTTATTTACAGTGAACTTACTAAGCACGGCATAGAAATAGGTATTCCAGTCTCCACCTTGTAAAAATTACTTCTGAGGTGTGCGATGAATGCACATTTCCTTTTCAACAATGGAATCTGCAGATGGTCTGATGGCGTGACTATGGGGTCACCTCTAGGCCCACTCCTAGCAGATTTTTTTCTGGCAAAACTAGAGAATGGTCCTCTAAACTAAAGTATTATATTGTCGTTACATGGATGATACCTTTATTGTTCTCAAAAGTGAGATTGATAGGAATACTGATCTTAATAAGTTTAATAGTGTTCATCCAGTAGTCAAATTTACAAGAGAAGAGGAGAGAAACGACAGTATGTCATGTTCTTGATGTTCTGCTGGTGAGAAGGTTAGATGGAACTCTGAAACGAAGTATATGTAGAAAGCCAACATCGACAGGTCAATTCATTCACTTCCTTAGTGCCGTACCCCCGCAATAGAAGAGGAACATGGTTGAATGTCTAGCATGCCGTGTCACAGCTATTTGCTCTGATGATGCTATAGAGGAAGAGTTCACCACAATTCGTGACCTGCTTAGTAGGAATGATCATCGAACAAAGTTCGTAACTAAGCATTTGAATGTTACGAAGTTTAAGACAAGAATACCAACAGTTCCTAATAAGAAAATCTACTTGAAACTGGAATGCAAGAGTGACATTGTTAGTGAAATCATCACACAATGCATAAAAATGACCCTAAAAAGAGCATCTCCAGCTGCTAGATTATGTCCCATCTTCTGCAATATCGTGATCCTAGCTGCATGAAATAAACACAGGCTGCCTTATTCTCTCACCCTTATGTGCATCTCCTCTGGAGGTTGTTACATTGAGCGCACAATCAGACAGGCCCATCGTCGTATTTCTGAGCACCACCCATTATGGCTGAGCAAGGGACAAATTGGAGCAATAAAGAGCTCCATACTTGCACATCTAGTTGACACGGGACATCAAGTGGATACCAGAAAAGGCTTTAAAATCATTCATCAGATCCCAATTAATTTACTATATGGATTAAGCAGTCGCTTACTTCACATAGCAGAGGTGATTGCAGTCCACCTTTACAAACCTTACCTTTGTTTGAAAAGGAATTTGTTCAACCGCTTTCATTACTGTTGCTGTCAATATGATGTAACTTCTAGTAATAATTTACACACTTTCCTTTCTGGTTTCTATCAACATTCGCTTGTTTTCTGATTCTTATGTAAGGATTTATTGTTTATGACTTATTAATGGAGAAAAAACACTCCATTTACCTTAACAGTTACTATGTAATTTGCCTAAAAATAACTTGCTTCACACGATTATAAATACTATTTTTAATCCTGTATAATTACTCTGTTGATTGTTTGTATCTTGATTTCTCAAACTTATCCTCTTCAAAACTTACTTGAAATCTATAATTATTGTCGATCAACCCTCTCTTCATTCGATTGGTATTTTGATTGAGTTATAAACCTACAGAGTCAAAGATGAAGATCTAATTGAAAAGGAATATATTCCTTTGCTCAGTCAATCTTTCTTCAAGATAAAAAATATTTTGTATTATTCCTTCGGTTTTCTATCTGTTTGAGGGAATCCTTTCCAAGAGTATGAACGTGATGTAAAGTTTTCAGATTGATATTTAAGTTTGGTAACGTGAAGCGTAATATAGCCTACACGCTTAACAACCTTGTGTACAATCATGCGGTAGCCATTAAGCCAAATCTACTGTGTGAGGTCTAATGATACTACTTGATGAAGCAGGATTCAAACCCGCGACTCATTGCTTGACAGTCAACTGTCTAAACTAATGAGTCATAACCCCATTCATGTTTGATACAAAAGGTGATCTGTATGATCATCCAATTAGATTGTCATATAGGACAAGGATGAATATAATTTTGGTTAGTGATTTAATAATTCAGTCATAGAAGCTTATTCTAGTTGTACAAGTAGGGTGGTCGAATCGGAGATCAAAATGCACTCAGCAACTTTGTGGACATCCGTAAAGTAGGCGATGAGCCACATCTATTGTGTGAGAGCTATTACCTGCCTGCCTAAACCTCGGTAGGTAGTACAAAAGCAGAGTGAGAAATTTGGTTCAACTATGTAAGGTACATAAGGGTGAGGAAGTCGTCAGTAGGGGAGTAAGGAATATATCATGTTGAATAGTGTGAAATTAAGTTGTGCTCAATCCTGTCCTTGTATATTATTCGTAACTTTTCATGCCAGTCACTAATGTTTGCCATAGTTGTGGGACATCCATTTCTTTTTTTTCTGTTGACCACAGAAGGGTACAAACAGACCTGCAAAGCTTGTACAATCGGCCTGTTTTTGTGAGAAAAGAAACCGTTTCCAGGTTTTTCGGCTTTTTATGACGTACACATAAGGCATAAGAGGTGGTGACAAAGCCTTTTTCAGCTTTTCCCAGTACATAGCAGTACCTGGTCTTTTATTTTAGACTGGTATTAGTGGAGTGTTCGTCACTTTAAAGATTATCCTGATATAGCTGTTAAAAATCCGTCTTATTGCTTCTGATTTGGATGTCTGACAGGAAAGCACTACAGTACTTATCCAATCTCTATGAGTTACTTTTTCCATGTCTTTTTTCGACAAACTCTATGCTCTTTAGTTACTTTCCCGGATAGATGTTTCGTTGTAGGACCTTTCGAATAAGTTGTCTGTCTGCCTTCTCAGATTCCATCGTATTGTCTCCTATGAGATCCTGTCAATAAACCTTCTGGGACGTTTTCCAGTGGGTGAGCTGACTTAGGGTCAGGGTATTTGTTACAGTGTATGTCTTTTCGATAGAGATCAATATCAAGTGTACCGTCATCGTTTCATATGACCCTACAATCTAAGAAAGCGTTTTGCATTCTGCTTCTAATTTACAAGTGAATTGTATGGTATTGAAGTGGCTGTTAAGATATTCGAAAAGATTTCCTGGACCTTGTCTTTTGGTTATGACAAAAGTGTCATCGACACGTACCTCCACCATATTCTCCGTTTTAATTCGTGTCATGTCTGATTCCACTTTGTACATGTATAAATGAGCTACAATAGGTGAAACAAGTGGACCTATTGCTACACCTCTGCTTTGACCGCGAAGATTTCCTCGAAAGGTAAAAGCGTTAAAGTTAAACATAGTTTCAATGATCGTAAGATTGCATTTAAACGCTAAGTAAGTATCAGATTTCAATAAAGATCTAACAACCTGCATATCTTCATCAACTGGAATGTTTGTGCATAGGGAAACGACATAAAAACTAACCATTATTTCATCATCTTTAATATTTGTTGATAACAATTTATGTTTAAAGTCTTGGCAGTATTTTTATGACCTTTTCCAAGTTTTTTTGTAATGATTTAAGGATGTTTACAAAGCATTTCGAAAGGATATATGTTGGGGAACTAGTAGAATCTACAATCGAACGAATCGAAATATTGGGTTTGTGAATGTGGGAAAAATTATGGAAGCTTGGAGTACTATAATGTTTTAATGCAAAATTAAATCACAAAACATTGCTAAGTTTTAACTTCAGATTATATAGTAATTGGTAAAATATAGAGTTTCCCTTTGTTAAGCGTAGATTTATTTTGTGTTTTAGATCACTTGATAAAGTCCTCTGAATAAATGCTCCGTGGTCTTTGTTGTTATGCTATCGTATAGTTTGATCTGACCATGACAACAGTGGTGTCTTTTTTGTCAATCTTCACGATGCATATATTTCTCTCATTCTTTTAAGCAGCGAATTAAACGTTTTCTTTTTTTGTTGTTGATATATTCATATTTAATACTGGGTGATGATTGAAGGTGAAATGAAATCTGGTGTCGCAGCGGATTTTCATTTCACCTTTAATCAACGCCTAGTATCAACAGTACGAATCTGCTAGACCATACCTATCTCAGGTAGTCACACTAATGCTCATATTTAACGATTTTTGATCAATTAGAATATGAAGAAGCCTCTGCTATCGTCATTGGTATATGCTTATTTCCTGTTACGATTCAGTCCTTAGTATTCTACAGTAACTATCAATAAGTCTGGCTTATAATTTAAAACATGGTACCCTCCTTTTGTCATTCAGCTGAATTGGAGTAATTGTATTGAATGTTTTCTTTTGTTTATTCAGCTCCTTATTGATGACTGGGAACGTGCTCAGGTTCTTCATAGACGTTCTGGAGGTGTTTTACTTGAAGGACCTCCTGGATGTGGTAAAACGCTTGTGGCCAAAGCTTTATCTAATCAGGCTGGACTTAATTTTTTATCCGTTAAGGGACCTGAAGTTCTCAATAAATTTCAAGGTGAAAGTGAACGTCGTGTTCGTGAAATATTTGAACGAGCACGTGCTTGTCAACCGTGTTTGATATTTTTCGATGAAATAGATGCGATTTGTCCAAGGCGGGATAGTGACGAATCTACAGGTAACTGATTATAACGTCTTTATTTTTATTTATGAGACCTACTCGATACAAATATTCACATATCTATAATCCTCCTCCACTATACTCAAAAGCAAACAAGACTGAAACTGTTGAGTTTGTAAAAAGCTGTTTATCGACTATTCGATACGTTTGTTGTTCTTCAAAATTTGAAGCTTTATCCTATTGCTTTGGATGTTAAAACTTCAATCAATCAACCAAATAGCATTCTAAATACATGCTTCCTATCAGTATCACTCACATAGGAGGTCTCATTCACAAAGTTCTGTGTGAACTGTTGTACAATTTTCAGTACAATTCTGTTCATATCTTTTAGCAAAAAGCGTACTATGAAGATGGCATAACTCCCACCCGTCCTGATTAGTGCAAGTTGTCCGATATTTCCTCTGGCTGACATTCTTCCCTCTATCATTGCCACTGTAAACTTCGAAATTAGCAGAAGCAGGCAACTTAAACTTCGTTCAATGTGTTTTGGAGTAGGATTACACTCGTTCAACGTTTTTATCATGCTGCCTCCGAGACACAAAGTATTAATTATGTAGTATTTCTGCTCCAGGTAATATTGTATACACATTTGTGTTGACCTAGAAAAAACATTGTTGATGAGACTATCTAAGATTTTTGTGGTTTGCCAAAGTGGTGTTAATACTACAAGCCGACAACTGTTGGTTTAACGAAAACCAACCATCAGTTCGATTCATTCTGTAATCCAGGTTTTCTTCTCATCTACAGTCACCACCTCTTATCGTAAAAGTTGAAATGGATGAAAAGTGTAGAATTTTTTTTCATGAAATTCCTCCGCTGGCACTTTTCGCTGCTCTCATGTCAATGTGTTGTTGACACATCAGTACTACTACAATAGAGCATCGAGTTTTTAAACTTCCATCTATTTAACTCATATACAGTTAATTCTTTCAGCAGGTTCAAAAAGCACACTGTTTGATGAGAATACCATCCACAGAATATCCACAAATCGACAAAAATGCTCTCAATAGCAGTGATGGAGGCAATCTGGAAGAATTTGGAGATATTAATATATATATATATATATATATATATATATATATATATATATATATATATATATATATATATGTATACATATATAATGGTGACCAGAGATTTGATTATTATTAGAAAGAGGCAGTGGCTAGGAATTCTGTTTTGAAGACGAAAGTGGTGAGGATCCCCTGTCAGAAACAGGAAGTGAAGCAGCCTGATAAGTGGTCCACTACGCCGATCGACATTGTGACTAATCTATCAGATTTTTTCCGATTTCAAACATAGTAGATTAGTTGTAGATCCCACTAAACTACTTTTACTTCTTAGAGAAAGTGGTGGTTTATCATGACTTGACTTCGTGATCAACTGTATCACTTTAATGGTGAAATTGAAAATCCTTGTGTTGTGCTATCCAGAACTAACAAGTTGATGACATAAAATAGTCATACTTGAAACTAACGTAACCAGCCGAAAGGAAAGACTGCTGACTGAGTCTTTTATTTTTCAAACGAACGTTTGTTTATTATAGTCAGTTATTTGATGTTAACATATGATCTAGTAATACGGAGTAACGTTCCGAGTTGCCACACCTCACCTCAGCACATCACGACACAAAGCAGCAATATGAAATATACAGAAATAAGGAAGGGAGTAATCAAAAGTGTCAGGAAGTCATAAGAAGCGAAGAAGTTGGGGGGGGGAATGTAGCTTAATGTGACACGACGAGTAGGATGATATCGATTCTGAGCCATATTACCTAGGGTCGCCGACTACTGATTTCGACTGTTGTACAGACTCCAATGGGAAAGTCTACATTTCAATATACAGCACAAAACATCAGTAAGAGACTTTATTGACGGATGCTACTTTTTAGTCTGACTTTTTTTTAATCTTTTCCTATGCTGAACCTCCATTTATTAGCTCTGTGCGTTAGGGTAGAAGGTGACTACAAATGCTTAAGCATTTCCCAGCTATCTAAATGGATGGAGGTTTGCAACCTCATCAACTGGCTTACATGTTTTATCTAAGACTCCGTACGTGACTTCTGAATTACCCGTGTGATAATCCAACACAGGCAATGCTAAGATAACAGTGATTGAAAACCTGAATCATTTTCTTTTCCTTCACTTCATGTTTCTCAGTCGTATGGTAGGGCAGAGCAATTTCACTCGTAGTACACTTGAGTCGTTGAAGGTGATCGGATATCTTACTGGCATCAAAGAAGGTGGAAGCTGGCAAAAGTCAGTCGATCCTTTTTTGTATCCGTGGACAGACCTCGATAGTCATTTATCTGTTCGGGCTCACCTGAAGTAGTCCACACACTCCGCGCCTGTTTCTGATGTATGAAAAATTTCACTACACTTGGAACAAAATGGGGAAGGGATTGGAAGTATCAAAATCAAGAGACAAAGGTGATCATCTCTATACAGCAGCGACCAATAAACTATGCTGGAAATATCATTCGGTGAAAAGTACTAATTATCTCGTTACGTGATATGTCTAAAAAACCGACATTAAATTATCGTCTCCTACAGTGTCTAAGTTCAGCGTTTTTATTATTATAACTATTATTTGTTATTAAGACTTTCTGAGATAGCCAACGTTCGGCATGTCGATGCTATTTATACTGGGTGATGATTGAAGGTGGTAGTATTCGAACCAGTGGCCTGCGGGTTACTAACCAAGTGCTCTACCAGCTGAGTTTCGGGACTGAGTCACCTACCAGGTTTTAACTGCACTTTATTCACCAATAGTTGTACCTGGCTGCCATATGAATCCGTCGTACATAACTGTCTGTTCGTCGTAGCCACACTTGCTACCTGATAACCCGAAGGTTACTGGCTCTAATCCCGCCGAAATTCGGGTTTCCATTTAGCCTTCAATTATTCGTATTTGTTGAGCTTGACTCCTTTTCTATCGGCTTATATTTATGCTTCGACTCATCCGCCCCTTAGGACTTGACTTTCAAGTAAGTAGTCATGAATTCGACTGTCATTCTATCTGCTGATCGTCAGACTGAATTTTGATCACTGATTTGATTCGAAACATTTTAAGCTGTGGCTCTGCAAAGATTACCCTCTTCTAACTCCTCGGAAATGAAATTTAATTCACTGTATTCTTTTTGTTTGCACAATGAAAAAAAGATGTTTTGAATGTTGTGCACCCTGCTCAATACAGCAGTAGTAGTATTGGGGGTAGGTATTTGTGTAATCTTTGTTTCTCAACCTGATGTAGCTGAAATCAGTAAATTGTTTTCTCACCTGATTGTCACAGCTGATGTAAGGAATTCAGCATATTCAGCCATCACTTGCTTATGTTGAATTTGTTCGGAAGATATTTTCCGACCCATGGGAGCGTTGGGTGCGAACAGTGGATCGCAGTTCGAAATCCATCTCGTCCATACATATGACTAACCAGACTATGGTTGTATGCTTTTTGAAGACGCTTTACAGCGGTGTGGAACGTTAGTGAATTAAAACATGTGGTATTTGGTAAACGATAAGTATTCTGTTCAGTAATTCTAAATATTTATTCATAGTTCCCTTTACATTTCGAAAACTAGTATTCTCACAAAAACTTAACTCTTCGACTACATTAATTTGTAGAGAAAAAAACAAATTGTATTCTCAGTAGTTGTTTATTGATATTTGTAATTCCCTGTTGTTACACTGGTTCGAAATGCTCGACGTCTGTTAGGAGATGGACTCCCATGCAGATCCCTCGATAACGCCTCGTTATTCATTTATTCCTCACTCACTTGAGTGCAAGTACGTCCAGCTGACGAGTCCCAAATAGAACGAAACACGCTTCCTGAATTCCACTGCTAGTCATCAAATAGGCTACAATGTATTTTTAGTTTTACCAATTAATATAAAACTTGAGTACTGTGATCGATCGTAATTCCATTTTAGTCTGTTTATTAGGAATATCACACAGTGAAACAGTAGCATTTACTGGATAACGTTTCGGACACAATTTATTGTCCATATTCATATCAGGTAACTCCACAACTTCGACATAGACTTTATATAGTCCTAATTTCCTCTCCTTCTTTGTGATGACAAGGGTAGTAGAATTTTCCATATATCATGGACAGGTGTAGAATCATTTCTGTCACTGTATGTATTTGGTGTTGATTCGATTATCAATCTCTCCCTCCACCCAACTAAGTATTCAACACTGTCGCCCTACTCCACCCTACTATATGATTGTGTGTCATCGCATGCAGAGCTGTAGCCGAGTTTTTCTCCAGATTTCTTATCGTATTAGAACCTACTAATCTTGATTTAGCTAAGTTTTTGTGCTCTGTTATTCTAATCGACCCTAGTCGACTACTTTGACCTATGTACTTGACTTCGAAATCATTGCAAGGGATTCGGTAAACCAAATTATTTTGCTCAATTGCATTGATAAGATCTCTTAACCTACAAAGCTTGTTTCTAAGTGAGTTTGTTGGTTTGAATGCCACTTTAATCATAGCCTTATTGAGAATTCTTCATTATGCTTCTGAGATGCCTTCCCTGTATGGTAACACAGCAGAGGCTTTGAATTCTCTCTTAACCCTATTGTCATTATTACCACTAGTAGTGGAATTATTATTAATAACACTTGTGTTACTACTACTACCACCACTGCTAATATTTTTCTTTCGATTTCTTATGAATTTATTTATAAATTTTGTTGGGTAATTGTTGAGACGTAGGGTATTCTTGATGTGTCCAATTTCTTGTCGCAGATTTTCCGATCTACTAGTAAGCTTTTTCTCTCTATCATTTAACTGGGCCTACTTTAGCTGAAGTGGGGTGGGAGGACTCGAAGTCTAAGTAGCAATTCGAATGGATAGGTTTCCTATAGACACTGGTCTCTAGATTTCCTTCTTGTGTTCGTTTAATCTTGCAATTCAACATTGCCAGCTCACCTTCTTCACTTTCTAAGTCACAGGTAAATTGGATTGCATTTACTACTGAATTTATATGTGCCAAGAACCGATTGATGTGTTCCGATTTCAGTAATGTAAGCATATCGTTTACATATCGGAACTATATCTGTGGAGTAGGACTAAATGTTTAAAGGACTATCTGTTCCGAACTGTCCATAAATATGTCTGCGACGATAGGTGATATTGGTGATCCCATGGGAACACCTTCAGTTTGTTTATATATTTTATTTTGAAACTTAAAAACTGTAGATGTTAGACACAATCGTACTCCTAGTATGATTTCCTCGATCGGTATTTTAGTTCGATGCATAAGTTCTTTGTCATCTTTAAGCCCATTTCTAACTGCCTCCAGAGCCATGTCAATCGGTATGTTTGTGCAAAGACTAGTTATGTCAAAACTAACCATTTTTTCACTGTCATGTAAGTGTATATTGTCTTTGTTTATCGAATCAACTACATGCAGTGACAGAAATGATTCTACACCTGTCCATGATATATGGAAAATTCTACTACCCTTGTCATCACAAAGAAGGAGAGGAAATTAGGACTATATAAAGTCTATGTCGAAGTTGTGGAGCTACCTGATATGAATATGGACAATAAATTGTGTCCGAAACGTTATCCAGTAAATGCTACTGCTTCGCTGTGTGATATTTCTAATTAACAAACTAAAATGGGATCTATTAATTAATTTCGCACAATACTTATGAGAAGTTTATTCCGAACTTTTGTTTGAAAACAAAAGGTGTTAATTGTTTAAAAATTCTGATATTCTCTGTGTACTTGTTTAGGAAGTCGAGTTAGCTTAGTGAATCAGCTTTTAGTTGAGTTGGATGGTATTGATAAGCATCGATCAGGTCGCGTTTTTGTTGTGGGCGCCACAAATCGCAAAGATATGATTGATCCTGCTATTCTCCGCCCTGGACGTCTAGGTTTACATTTGATGATTAACCCACCGTCAAATGTCAAAGAACGCCTTTCCGTTTTGTCTGCATGTACTCGGTCTGCAACAACTCCACGGATTGAAAATGGCATGATGACGCTCGAATTGATTGCAAATGATCCACGCACTGACAAAATGAGGTTTGTCTATTTGTTATATTTAATTTACTCACCTTTTATTTGATATAATTATCAGTTTTTCAAGGATTTGGGAATTACGTCAGAATTTAGACAGCGGACGTTGAAAATCCGATAGTTGTACCAATTTGAAAATAACTTTGAAAACTTAATGCGATTAAAAATAAGTTTGAAGGTATCCTGGCCAACAATGGACTGGATGGTTTGAAAAAACTTGGGCACCGAGTTAGTATGATTCATTGTATAGGATGTATTTTCTCTTGCGTAATCCCGGCGTATTATATTAGAACAAATAACAAAATAAACAAATATTGTTCTAATATACTACGCCGGGATTACACAAGCGAAAATACATCCTATACAATGTATCAGTTTTTCGTTATATTAAGGTTCTTTCGACTGATAGCTGCTATCTTAAAGTGGTGGTTGGACCCAACGAGCTATGCTGGTGGAACACTTGTTCCCTCAAAGTCCTACCACACCAGAAAGGTCTGTTGGATAGTAGCTAGAAGAAAAGCAGTTACCGTTGTGGTGTAAATCACTACACTATGATTGGGGTCTGCGAGCGAAGAGGTACTGCTGCTAGCTAGATGGGGTGTGACAGCAGTTAGTTATTTCCTTTGGATGACCAGCAGTACCTTTCCTTTGGGAAGGCATCTTGTCAGCGTCTTCACCTAAGAGGACTATGTCACCTGCATATTCTAGGTCTTGTGATTAGGTCAGTCGCTGAGTAGTCAGATGTCGATATGGAGACCTCCATAAGAATATCTATGATAAAGTTGAATAAGAATGCAGAGAATGGGCATCCTTGACGGACACCAGTCGACGTATACATCTCACCATAGGCTCTAACACCTATAGGTATTGGAGTAAAGAGCCTTCAACAAGGTATTAACAGAACATATTGCTTACTTATATTCTTGTACTTTTTGTAAAACATTAATTTACGTTTAACTGCATTATATAACCATTTTTGTAAATTTTATATCAAACTTCAGTGGTGCTGATTTAGAAAATTTATTGGAATTAGCAAAACAAAAAGCTCAAATTGCACGACAAGATTTTGTTTCACAAGTCAACTTACTAGATGCCTTATGTGAACTTCAGAACTGAAATAATCATTTCCTAAAACAATATACAATATCTCATCTTGATTTGTATTCTATTCTAGATTTGTTTAATGGACTCTAGTGCATTAAGTAGCTGTAATTAATACACAAAACATTGCCACCTTCTTTATTAAATGTCTAGAGATCTATGTAAAAAAAATGTTTTGATTTATGTCTGTGTACATTAATTTTACTTTTTGACGCATTTAACCTATATGCAAAAATTTTAATGTGATCCTACATGTTGATAAAAATGTAAAGTTAAATATTTTATGAATATTTCATTGCATTAACCATAGCCTTTTTAACAAAATTAATTGAGTTTTTGTTTACTTGAAATCTGTCTAATGAATGAAATATCTTTTCATATCTGTCTTTGTTAGACTCAGAATGTTTGGATTTTGTGGAGTTATTCTTTCGTTGTATAAATCTTAACTGTTAGTGTGTGAACTTATTCAAATTCAGTCATATTTCCGATTTCAGTGAATAGTTTGGCGTGGCAGATGATTTTAATACACACCTAAACCATGAACTTAAGGCATGAAGAGAGACATTATCTAACGTGGTGTCCACCGAATTCATCTTAGTAGTGAACATAGACCGATTATATTGTTGTCAGTTATTACTAAAGACGGTCGGTGGAAAATTGTCGCACCTTATGAAGTACATGTTTAAACTGACCACCATTTGGCTGTATCATTCATATATCTGCACCAAAATAAACTTAGGAAAGCAACAGCTACAAAGCCGATCTGAGAGCAGGTTCATGTTAAGAACACTGAGTCCTGATACTAGGCGATGATTGAAAGTGAAATGAAAATTTGAACCACGGCGGGATTCGAACCAGTGACCACCGGGTCAGGAATCCGGTATCAATACAAGTCCGCCAAACCACGACTATTTCAGATATTCAGAATAATAAACGCTGAGTCTTCTTTCACGGAGTAGGTAGACAATTATGGCGACATGACAACTTCACTCATCCTGCAGAAATTGACACCATCTTTAGCGTACTGTAAGAACAGCGTTAAGAAGTCTGTAGATTTCAGTAGCTTCTTCTGTATCAATGCCTGCAGGGTCCGAGTGAAACGAATAGCCGGTGTTGCTTAAATACAGACTGAAGAGAGGCCTACGAAATGATTGTGAACAGTGTTGGACAGTGAAGGCTAAAGAGATGGAAAAGACAGCTGTGATAAGTAACAATAAACAGACATTTCAACTTATCAAAAACACAGGTAAAATATTGAATGGTTAGTGGGACCGTAGCGAAGGAGGATGGGTCAGCGATTCACCGGCTGGGGAGACAACTGGGACGATGATCGGAACACGTCGAGAAACTGTTCATTTCGTCTCCAGTTTGTTAATCTTCGGTTTCCTGCTGTCCATTCGGATTCTGATTGAGAGATTGAAGTGAAACGTTCAACAGTAAAAAAATCGAAAAAAAGAAGGGAGACCGGGCTATACTGATGTATTCAATGATAGTAGTCGTAGAATATTGGTCAGGTTAACTGAGGTGCTATCTATTGTATGAAAATTAGACATGATCCTATCCAACTGGCTTCAATCACCGATTATCGCAGTATTGAAGAAAAGAGATGAATGCTCCTGTGGTAACTGTAAAAAAAGAAGTCTGACGAACATACTGTCCGGCATCTTGCGTTCTGTACGCATAAGACACCAATTTCTTGAAAAGAGATGCACTTGCTAACGCATGACAGTAAGTGTTTCTCTTGATATGCGCATTGAATGACCTGACGAGCAAAAGGAACGATCATGCGCCACTGTTTTATATCACGCTACTGACTCATAAAGAAATCGTGATAGCCACCTCAAAATGAGGCTAGTGCTGATGAAGTTGGTTGTAAAGATGAAAGCTTTCGATTAAGTCCTCCAGCTCAAACAGAGCAACATCACCAGGATATGTTTTCACTTGGGAATATTCGGTGACATCCATGAAATAGGACGAGCATATACTGGAGACATTTTCCAGTTTTGAGCAGCCTAATGTTTGAGTAATCTAGCTAAGACTGAGCGGTAAGTCGGAAATTTCCGGATAAATGAGACATACAAGAGAAGCTTCGCTTCTGAGTATCAATCCTACAATAATTATTCAGGAATACCTGTGAACGTTTGGTAAAGGGAAAGTAGTGATGTTAGGAACTAATACAACACTACTAAGAAGGAATTCAACACCTCAATACTGCCTTATCGACAAGGGACTGTAGAAAACCCAATGTAAAATTATCAGTAAGGCCATCTTTGGGGTAGCATTCAAACCTAAAAAACTGGTTCAGAGACAAACTCTGTCAGCCTGAGGATTCAGTTGATCTGACTGGACGAAATAATCTAATATACCGAATATCTGGTACTGACTGCAAGGTCAAGTACACTGGGAAAACTGACCTACAGCTAAGCAGAATATAGAAATCCAACTGGGTCTAGACTGATAGATTAATACTGAGACTAATAATCTAAAGAAGAATTCAGACATAACTACGCGTGTGATAACACACGACCACACTATAACTTCAGTCTACACAGCAGTTCTTAGTACTAGTGAAGTAAGGTTGAGGAATAAGTGAATTGTTTATTCTTTGTTCCTCAGCTGAATGGCAATGGTTCAACACCGGCTGTAAACCTATACTTTTCAGTGGCAAACAGTATTCTTATTTACGACGAAACAGTTCGTGTATCATCACTGATCAGACCAGTGTAGACACTTACACCATCCTACGTCTCTGGATGTGCCCTAAAGTTCAGTTGACGCAGGTGCATTGAGTTGGGATAGTCAGTGGTAATAGAGACTGACTGGATAAGGTAATTCTTTTCGTTATACTGAGGCTTGCCTAACTGTCAGCTTCATGCATGACTAATAGAATAAGACGTAGAGTCGAGGAAATATGCCGGCTAAATGTCAAGAACAGAAACAGACAGAACAGTAGGAAATTTCCTACAAATGACGAACGCCTACTCGTCCTATTCAAGGCTCTTGATGTACTCCCTTCGGTGTAACAACACGATTTCGGCTTTTCTGGATGGATAGTTGTACGTTGTCGAATTGTTTACTTAGATAATGGCCACACGGATATGAGTTGAGTATGCTGAGTGTCTGAAATACAGATTAAGGTCTATGTGCACGTATATGCTTGTAATTCTGGCTGGAAACTCCAGGACTCTGATCCAATTGGAAGGTAATCCACTCATCTTGATCGTTGTCACATACCATTCAAATGTTTTATATTCTCTGGCATGAATCAGTAGTGAGTGCGATCAACGAAATAAAAAACTGAATTTCGTTTTGTTGCATGATATCAGCTTCTGTCGAGAAGGATGTCACTTTTGAGATCGAAATCCTGTGCAATTATGATGGTTGGTGTGAGGTCGTTTATCAGCAGCTAAATAAAAGGAAATGTTCTTGGAAAATTCTCACTAATCCAGTCAGTCAGAAATATACGTGATTTTTTTGAAATTCACCTTCACCTATGAAATGCATAACCAGTTATCGTCTGATGACAAATAACTCACAATTGAAACACTCAACTCTTCATAGGTCATTCTAGAGTACGTATTTAACAAGGCATGACGATTTGCAAAGAATAGTCATCAATACGTGATTCACTAGTCGAATAACGAATTAGCACACAGTTCACGACAAATCACTGGAGAACGCGATTGGCATTCATTTCTGCGTCATTCTACAGCACATGAATACAAGTATGAAAACATGTGAGTGTCAAGTTGTGCGTACAGTGGGTCATTTGTTTCATGTGCTGGTAAACGTGGTTCTCATCAATGTGTTAGCATTTCCACTGAGTGGGTGATATGAATTGCTGTATCATAGGATTACATATCTTTATGTACGAGGCAGTTATTTTTTTCCTTTTGTGAATATTGTATGTTGAGTATAGGATGCTTGATATTGGATGTGCATGGGTTATGGCTTCTTCACTTGTAATCTAGAATTCTCTTCAGACGGATATCGTATGGCTACTAGTAAGTTGCAAAGTATATTAGTTGTATGGATGCGCTTAGATTTAACTCACTGGCTTTTGGACAAAGTTCACTTTCTGCTGGTGAGGTTATCTAGAACTACAATGAAAGTTTCACTATTAAGCCAAAAAACTCAGGTAACGTCGCATCTTATGAATCATCCCCATAACTCCAAATAATATTTTCCATCATTTTGAGAGTCATCTTTTGATATGTCTTTCACTCAGCAGTGATGTAAGGACTTCTGAATTTAATGTTGAAATATTTCAGAAGTAGGTACTATACAATTATATATATACTAAGCCGCTTGGAAGAATCGGCATGTAAATTTCGAGTTCTGAATTGTTTCATGATAATTTTGAGTACTCAATACTTGAACACACAGATACAGCGCAACACAGTATCGCGTAATTTCACATGTTGACAACATTGGAAAGATTATCGACAGACTTTGGACAGTTATAAGCATTTTTTTACTAAACAAATAATTCGTTTGCTCATATCATACGTAATTTATCCTGCATCCAATAAAAGAAAACACTGAAGATTCGGGCACTTCTCTCACATACGTCTTCAATAGCTACAATAATGACTGCATATCACTTTATACAGATGGGTCACATATACAGTTGTAAATGATGCAATCTCAGAAATGCACTCGCAGGTTATATTCAACCGTAATTTTTGAACTGAAGATCGAGAAACTAGAGTGACCCACACTTCATTTGCAACGTGGCTATTCGGGTGACCGGATGTACTTATATTCCTCCTTCATGAGCTCACGTTTACAAAGCATACTCTGCAGACACAGATACAGCCACAACGAATTATATACACCATGTCATCAAGATTTCCACCGGTAGTCTTCAAAATTCATTTTCATCTCACAACATCTTGATGACATCTGGATAACAAGATCTAGTGTTCAATTGCTTTGAAAAAGAGAACTTCAAACAAATTATGATATTGTCCGATTCACAACAATCATGATATCACATTTCAGTGATCAGGTGTTAAACGAAACTTTGAACACTTAACAAAGCTGTATCTTAAAGCTCGTAATTCATAATCCACAATCATGATGTATTCCACGTGAATGGAATGGGAGAACTCCTTTAACTGACAGATGTCAAGATAGCAGATGGCTTCATGAATGTGAAATGGAAATGAATGTCTGGCCTTGACTAAAGTCATTACAGCTAGATTTTTGTCAGGAAATCTTTTGTTGCTTCGTCATTGTAAGTGTTTTTGAATCTGCCTGTTCGGCTATTTTGTCCACCGCTGATTGAACTGTATGTGTCAGTCTTAGATTAGCAGGTCTATGTCACGTGAAACGGAAGATAACCGATGTTGAAGTTGAAACCTCAGTTCTGATGGAATATGATACAACTGTCTTCATGCCACCGAAACGATTTCAGACCCCACGAAATACTTCATGTAGGCAATCCCATT